GCGATTTGGTGTTACGGGCTTAAACGTGAGTGCCATGGCGCCTACGTCCATTTTAAACATAGCGATAGGCTATGGATACAATGGGTTGCAATAGTCGATCACTAAATCGAATCAGGCATCCTCCGTCATATCTCCAGGGTGCGATTTGACGCCCCTGGCTTTCTCGTGACAGCTATGGCGCCTACTTTGGTTTTAAACAGTGCGGTATACAATCGGGTGTTTTAGGCACCCAATCCAGTGTTTTACTGAACCGAATTAGGCGCGTTCGCCGACGCTCCGGTACGGTGCGATTTTGCGCCAGGGCTATCTCTTGAGCTATGGTGCATACGTTCGTTTTAAACAGTGTGATAGAATATGTATAAAAAGTATTATTATAGAACGTTTACTAAATTGAATCAGGCGCATCTGCCCGCATTTTGCCACGGGCTATCCTCGGCCGTTCTTTAAACCCCGCGGCAACGCACAAGGACGGGTATGATATATATATATATATATATATATATATATATATATATATATATATATATATATATATATATATATATATATAAATATATATATATATATATATATATATATATATATATATATATATATATATATATATATATATATATAAACAATACCAGATCCTAAACACTCAATATTGTCGCATATTTTTTTATCGGCAACCAAGTCATAATAGAATTTGCATTCAATGTATGTAGATTAAATTTATTTCGTAGATTTCTTTGATCTACAATTTGCATTTCATTTAGTAAAAAACACAGTGATGATCAAATGTTTATGTGTCTAAATATGCTTGCGCTAATTGATAATTGCGTTTTAGAAAATCTAGAACAAAGTGTGGGCAGTTAGTTGAGAATGGTCCGTTTATCAGGCTCCCTCTCTCTGATGAACCCTAAGGAGAAGCGTTATCTTGCATCAACCGTATCGCAGGTATTTTTGAAAAGATAATCCATTCGCGTAAGGGACTTTACTACTGCATTATATCAAAGTTTTCTATCCCAGATGGGTTGCTGTCCCTAGCTAAAGGGCCTTATATGCCCGTTTAGCTTCATTGTGCTTACCTGCCCTACCACGCCCACTTCATTTTTAAAGTAAAGTAAGAGTTAATAGTTAATCGTGAAAATCATTTTTAAAAGATCTAATTACAGACTTACTACTCTGCTTACTACTACTTTAGAACAAATTTAAATTATGACTTAAAAAATCAGCCGCATTTAATAAAAAAAAAACACTTTAATAGAAATCTGTATTGTCATTATAATATATTTTAGTTTAAGTTTTTGATTCGCTTCTTATTGTTATTTTATTGCAATAGACTTGAAAAGCTGGTTTTAAATGGTTCCAAATGGTTGTTGCCAGAAAACATATTTTTCAACCAAACTTAAATATTCATAACAATTGTCAAACAAGTAATAATTGACTTCCGGTTTTATTAAGGCTAGAAATATTTGAACAAATAATTACTAGATGTCTAATGCTAACAGTATTTTAGCCAACAATTTTTTATTTGGATTAGTAGAGTTATGATGTTGAGGTGAAATGGAATGTTAAATTATTTAATATAAATAAACTACTCGGCCCCGTTGTAATCTATATACTACTAAAAGTCAAGTTTGTTTACATGTTTGAATATTTATTTTTTTGTTTGTTTGCCTGATTGACTATTGTGATATGTTCGACTCTATCTGGAAAGCTGTAAAATAGTATGCAGGTAGAGAATAATTTTTTAATGCAGACAGACTGTTGATCACAAATTTATTTAAAGACGTTAATTTAATTAATTTATTGATTTATTCATAGTTAAATTAACCGTATTTTTTTACAAATGTTAATACTTTGAATAAACTTTGTGGGGATAGTGACGTCCCTTGATGTGTTTACATTTTTGGTACAATAAAAATGGCGGACCCCATCATAGACTTTGTGGCCCATTCAAAAGTTTAACGCGTTACAAAGCTAATTTTCTGCCGGCTATAACTTAAACAATACGTCCTTTTGCTGTATTTATTACGTTCCAACACTTATATCAATTTTCAACTGTCTTTTTCATTTAGTTTTACGATAAATTTCTCTAGATCTAAAGATCAGCTATCGAAGGAAATTTATGAATCTAGCCTAGATCTAGATCTAGATCTAGCCTAGATGTAGGTCACTAGATTCAATGTAAATTCTACATCTAGAATCTATTTCAGGCCTTAATTATTTTATATAAATCTTTGTTTGGCTTATTTAAGATAAAATTTAATTTGAAAGTTAGTACTACTAGACTTATTTTTAGATCTAGATTTAGAATCTATACGCGTAAATCAAGTTGCATAAGGAGACACATAGTATAGTATAAAAATTCACTTGTGACGTCACGAGTAAATAGCTAAAATGGTAGCGTAGTCAGCTCTCATGCAGGAGGCACGGGTTCTAGACCAATATGTCAATGAAATTTTTTTTTTCAATTTTTTTTTAGATGTGAATGATAACGTTGCCTATCTGAACTTGGCAAGATACAGGGCAGGTGAAGTAGAGTTCATCTGTTTCTTTGTCCTAAGCATATGAAAGGATAGTGTGGTCAGATACATGCTCGGCTGGAATTGTTTTTTAAACGATAAAAACATGTTGTCTGAGACTTGGCAGGACACTGGGCAGGTGAAGTAGAGTTGAGTAGGTCACCTGTGACGTCAGTTTATGAAGGGATAGTCCGAAATCGGTGTTTTCGGTGTTTTTAAAAGATAAAAAACATATATTTGAATGTGGGGTCTGTTTTTTGTGACGATAAGTGACACTGCAGTAGCGTACCGAGGAGGGGGGGGGGGACGGTAGGGGAGGGGAGGCGGGGGGGGGGGAAGGGGAGGCGGGGGTGGGGAGGTGGAGGTGGAGGGGGGAAGGGGGGGGGGACATATGTTGGTGCGCCAAAATGGTTTGGAAAAATAAATTGATAGGTTGAGGGGGGTTCAAATCGAAAGTTTGAGTGGGGGGGGGGGGGAATTGCACATCAAAAGTTTGAGGGGAGGGGGTTCAAATCGAAAACTTTGTCCCCGGGCGCCGGGAAGGGTCGCTATGCCTCTGAGTGACAGACGTGATGTTTTTTGATGGATGACCCCCGAAACCCACAGTTATCCAACGGATGACGGGTATTCTAGTATTAATTAACGCGTAATGAACATCAACATTTTCAATTTTTTTTTTACTATAGGGCTAATCAATCCAGATCGAACAATTCCGGCCTTTAACTATTGGGTCATCCATATACGCTGTCACGTTTTTTTAACATGTTGAGTAGGAGTTATATTTGGGATTATGTTTAGGGTTAGCTTTAATTATTGGGTTGGAGTTTGGGGTTAGGTTTAGGGGCAGGACTCTTTTTGGGAGGGTGTGGGGGTAATTACAAGGGGGGGGTATTGAGAGGGGGGTATAGTCAGGGGCGAAATTTTCCGGGTGATTGACGCAGGGGGGTAATGTCTTAGATCCCCCCCCCCTTCACACAGACTGCTATCTTGTTTTTAAAATAGCTGTTTATTTGAAAATATTTAAGCCAAATATGCTCTGCCTGTATGGTCTTGGTCCTAGGACCTTTTACCACAGGTGCTTTGACCATAGGGGGTTTGACCATAGGGGGTTTGACCGTAGGGGGTTTGACCATAGGGGGTTTGACCACAGCGGAGCTTTGACCATAGGGGCTTTGACCATAGGGGTTTGACCACAGCGGGGCTTTGACCATAGCGGTGCTTTGACCATAGGGGGTTTGACCACAGGTGTTTTCTCAGCAGAGGGTCTTTGATCACAGGTGGTCTATCAACTGGTGCTCTAGTCCCAAAAAAAAAGAACCTCCCCAACCCCCTCAGATTTGTATGTCTTTTATTGACGATTGCATTTTGCTCTTGTTTATCAGATATGTATTAGACATACAAACCCAATTACTTTAGTTATTTTAATTTCATCTCTGTTAATAAAACTGATAATTATACTTTGTTCAAAATATCCCCCTTATAAGTTTTAGTTTTCTGTGATTTGAAAAGCGTGGTTATGTACCAACTCCGCTTTGCCAAACTTTCTTTATGCTGTACTGTTTTAGCCTTTATGTGGAAAATATATTTGACTCTGATTGTAGAGAACCATTTTTGTAAAATCGAATAGTAATAAATTATAACAATCTATATTAAATAGTGAACTCAACATTTCCCCAAGCCTAATTTGCCGTTTTATCAACTTGCTGGGTTTGGAGGTAGCGGGGGGGGGGGGGGGGGGCAAACAAAAGTGACGACGTCGACAATCTCAAATAGCAATGGTCTTTTAGTTTAGGTTTCAAACCTTTAGATTAAGAACTAGAAATTGAGCACTAAGACGTTTCATGTTTTATTCTGTAAAAATAAATATTACAGTAGACAAACAGATATATTAATATCAATGTTTTTATTTATAGGTATACGTAATTTAAATTGGATCGGGGTAGTGAGCGAGCGTTAGTGCGCATGACGGACTAGCTAAAATTCCATCCATGGCTCGATGCTAGTGAAAGTAAAGACGACTAAGCACATTATCCCTACATGTGTCATGTCAAGAACACATAATGGCTTCTATTATATATATATATATATATATATATATATATATATATATATATATATATATATATATATATATATATATATATATATATATATACGTGCAGTAAAAACGAGGATCGCAATTGTATAGTGAGATAACAACAGCACATCTAGACATTGGCCTACATTTTTACTTAGTTTACACTGCTCGATATAGCAGTAGACTTCTTACACGTTTTTACCGTAAATGTGTGAACACGTATGCGTATATATTAATATAAATATATATGCATCAATACCATTGGATCTATTTCAAATGAGAAAAAGCATAAGGAGTAGTGCGAATCTAGGTTAGGCTTCCGCATACTGTGTCAACACACACTATATGGGCCAACTGAACGACCTACTTTATTGCGATTTCTGCTTGGTCGATAATGCGTGCAAAAACTCTGTGCAGTAAGCGCCTAAAGCTGAAAATGTATGAAATTGCCTAAACCAGTACCGGGGTAAGAAACATTTAAGCTCCTTTAATTTTTTAAAATTCTGTTTTCATAGCATTGACAAATTATGCACTTGTAAATCAACTTGTAAAATTAAAACAGCATGCAACACTTAAGAGGAAATTAAAAACTCATGCTGTGTTGTGAACTAGAAAAAAAGATTAATAATAGAACTGTGACATTTTACGTTGTGCAGATTATGTACAGGTATGCTCGTTGCATTGCTGCTGTATCAATAATGAAATATAATCTGGTAGGTTCAGTAAATAGTATTTAAAAGACTAAACAAACGCTGTCTTCAAATCCTAGATGTTGACAATCATTTCGAAAACACAATATCACTCACACGGTATATGTTCATATTTTCGAAATGAACATGTTAAATTTATTTTAATAAGCTTTTTTTCAGAGTTATGCTGAAATCACCAAGATTTGAAAAAATGCAGTTCGCCATAGTTTTCATTTTTATAAGCACTTATGTTGTACGTGATCTATCATTAGCCACTTCAATACCATCATTTGAATCAAACAAATTTGCAGCAGTAGGAATTGCAATAAATGTATTGAACAATTATTTCTTTAAAGTAGAAGACACTCAAGTGAAGCGTGTTAACAGAATCGGTTCTAAGGCTTCTTTGGTTAAAGAAACAACTGAGAGTGTGGACAAATCTCTTGATATGCAGAAGAAAACGAAAAAGATATGTTTTAACTTTAAACGCATACATGAGAATGGATACACACTTTTGATGTGGGCATCTTACAATGGGAATATCAAAGCCGTGGAGTTTTTGCTGGCGTTAAAATCTGATGTAAACGACATGACAGTGTACGGTGAAACAGCTTTGACTTTAGCATCTCGTCAAGGACACGCTAGAATTGTCGACTTACTGCTTCAACACGGTGCTGATTTTAATCTGACAATTTTAGATGGGGTCAATGCCCTTATGTTAGCCTCGTTGTATGGGCATCAAGATACAGTGGAGGTCTTCTTAAATTATGGTGCTGATGTAAATGCAGAGACTCGTCTAAATATAAGTGCATTTACAATGGCAATACATAAAAACCATACCAATGTTGTAGAATTGTATCTAAAGTACAACACCAGAAACAATAAACAAGCTATAAAAAAGAAAACATTGGAAAATGCATTTTTTCATGCATCAATCTATGGCTTTCCTAATATAGTGAAATTGTTTATTAAGTATAATATCTACAACACGAATAATATGAATATCGGCGCATTTGCAGCACTCGAAAAATACCAACATTCTGTACTGAAAGTGTATTTTCAACATGTTGATGTTAATTCTATACAATACAGTAACTTCACGCTGCTACAGTATGCAGCAGCTAAAGGCGATGACGTCAACGTCAAGTTTTTGTTAGAAAATATGGCTGATATAAACAAAGTTCTACCTGATCGGGAAGTCACACCGTTAATGTTTGCCACAGAAAGAGGTCATTTATCCACTGTTAAAATACTATTAAAATACAGAGCAAATGTTAACTATATAACAAATGAATTATTTTCTGCATTAATAGTTGCTATATACAACAATAATGAAAATATCGTTGAAACGCTTCTACAACACAAAGCAGATGTCAATCACAGGTATAACGGAGAGATATCAGCTTTAAGCTTTGCAGTATCTGAAGGTTCGTTGGAAATTGTAAAATTACTGCTAAAATATGGAGCTGATGTAAATCAAGTTTCTAATATCAGAGTGAGTGCATTGATGATAGCAGCTGAAAAAGGATTAGACGATATAGTAAAGATTCTGCTTGAAAATAAAGCTAATGTGCATATTAAAGAGATTGAATATGAGAGAAACGCACTTATCTCTGCATCAAATAAAGGACGTGTAGGTACTGTGCAACTACTATTGAAACACGGTGCTAGAGTTGATGACGTGAATGTTTTTGGCTACACGTCACTGATGGCAGCTGCAGAACAAGGTCATGACCTTGTAGTTGAGTTACTGATAAAAAACAGAGCAGACGTTAATAAAACACACATGAGAAATGTTAATGCATTAATGTTAGCTGTATATTCAGGACGTACCAGTACTGTGAAGCTGCTTTTGAAACACAACGCTAGAGTAAATAGAATTATAGTGAATCTCGCTTTAAAGAAACGTCGAGTCTTTATTGTAAAATTGCTTCGAGAAAAAATAAAAGAAAAGTACATTAAGCGTCAAAAGGGATTAACCTTAAAACAGTCCAACAAAAATACAAAAACCACAGCATTCAATCAAGGTAAGAAACATTTTACAACTTCTGAACCAGAATACAAATATTTCTGACGTCAATGATAAGTAGGCCTAAGCAATTATTAATGTGTGCAATTTTTCTAAATGTATAGGCCTACTTTTTTACTTGCATATCTGTAGTTCATTATGAATAAAAAAAACTTAAGCCTCTTTTTGGAAGACATAAATTAAAGAAAACAGTAAAATACAAATAACAATGCAAAAAGATAAAAAAAAACACAACCCAACCAATATTCATTTAATATAATATTAAAATAATTAAGGGGAGCATATAATAGAAGTTATAACACAACTATCATAAACCATGTCAGAAAACACACCACAAACCGCATCACAAACCATTACCCGATTCACATCGCTTTTCGGACCCAAACACACAACAAACACTAAAATCATAAACATTATACGAACAACAGTCACCCTTCACACTTTACACTTTTAATACCATACAATAATCCCACTTTCCATTCCAGACGCCAGATCAATTTTTATTCTAGATATTGCTACTCTTTCATTCATAACTACGATAGCACTTACAAGACGTTTCTTAATTTTCCAGAGAAGGCAACAAATAGTGGAACTCTACTGTGGTATATGCTGTTAACTCTTTTCATTTTGATTGTTTTGCTGATAGGAAAATATTTGATCAATGTAAGTTTTGGAAATAATTAAATAATTAACTACTTATGTAATAACGCCGATTAATAAAAGTAAAGTAGAATTACAATTTAAATTAAAACGTGTTTAACGTATGAATTAAATTACATTCACGAAACAGAGACTTAGAAAACGGAACGCCACTTTGGACCAACTGTACAAGGAAAACATAATTTCTACTCTTTGGGAGCTTTATTACAAAATAACAGAAAGTCCGCTTCACATACAAAACGTATGGGGCTGTGACAAGACATGCCAACCCAACGAGTCAGGATTCTTCAGACTTCTCAACTTTCGGGGAAAGTTTCATTCTTCAACACACGTACAGGAGGGGTCGCCTAACTGTTATGGCTGTTTGGTTGCCAAAATACATAAACAAGATATGTCTAAGATTGATGTTCTTTATTTAGAATCATTTCTTCTTCTTCATTACGTCTCGACAATCGCTGAGACAATTTATCAGATGTTTCAAATAGCTGATGATAAAGTAAGTATTCTTCTACATAATTTAAAACAATTTGTTAAATACAACACAAATATTTGTAACTAAGTCACGTAACCATTTTTTTTTACAGGTAAGCCTTTTAGAAATGGACAATTTTAGACACATTTACAAAATCACTGTAGAAATTTCATTGGCTTTTCAATCCAAATTTTACATAAAGAAATCTAACTATACTACGGGCAGCTTAAAAAAACATTTGGAAACTCTAAATTCGAAATTTGTACAACATAATTTCAAAGGCAGAAGTAAAATGCAGCAATTGTTTAGAAAAAGGCAAAACCAGATCCGGATTACAGAACCGCAACTGATCTGCTCTATGCTTGGCCTGAATGAACTGTTTGAGAATTACCTGCTAGAGCTGGACATGGAGTCTATCAACCATCAGACACTTGTTTATTTCTTAAACCGATGGCTGGAGAACACGGTACAGGCTATAGAAGAGACAGACCGATCTATTTCTCTCTATGATTGTATGCTCAGGATTGGCTTATCGGAGGAGAAAGCAACAACTTATATAGGGTATTTATGTGAAGAGTTTATCAACATGTATTCATCTATGTATTGGCTGTCTCGATATTTTGAGAACCTCTGCTTGATGAACCCATTAATTACAGAAATACCCAGAACATGTTTGTTTGAAGGAGATTTTAACGTTTGGAAATCTGGCCAGGTACAGCGTGTTAACAACAACGAAAATTTTGAGCTGAAGTTTTTGAACCAGAAATCTCCAGTACGTTTAGACAACCGTGATATTGATTTAACTTGTGAGAGAGTTTCTCGTTACCTGAAGAAACAAAAAGATAAAGACAGTCTTTTTCTTTTTCACGGTACTTCATTGCTCAGCGCTGTAAACATTTTAGAGCGGGGAATAAATTTAGTCAAAGGAAAACAGAATTTAGATTTTTCTCACGCCAAAGGTTTTTATGTGATCAACAACTTGCGTAAATCGGTTGAGTGGAGCTGCACCCATAAGCCAGAGCTTCACGCAGTTGTCATATTCAAGCTGAAGAAAACGGAAATGGACAATGGGAATGGGCTGGTTCTAGAGGATGAAAGGGAATGGGGAGAGGTCGTGACGGCATGTCGTAAAGGTTTTGAAAACGATAACGGCCCAGAGGTTGAAGACAGGCTACAGAATGTAGACTTTGTTCGTGGCTTTATTTGTGCTAATGGGAGAGAAGTACATAGGAATAACCACAACCCTGTCATTATGGAAGAAAGAGACGGTTATCGCCCTTTACAGACGTGTATACTGAACAAAGACTATGCTCGATGGTTTGGTTCACCGGCAAATATTTTTGGTCTGGTTGTTTTTAGATATGGCTAACTCGATTGCATTATGTTAAGATTAGGAAACTAATTGTAAAAAAAAACATACAATTTATTATACTTCTATTTCATTATTTTATAAACCTAATTAAATATGTTATAGAAATTCTAAAATGATTTTCGTTTTGCTCATTTAAATGCTTTGAATTATAACTTGAATTATCCAATTATGTTATCTTTTTTCGTTTATTT